GCCAAAAACACAGCGGGGAGCCATTTTACACAGCAAGCGGCCATTTTCCACCACTGAGCCATAAGCCCTTCTGTAACACAGTGGTGACATATTCACAATGTTATAAAAGAGCTGTTTGAATATTATTGGCAATACAATATCTGCTTTATGAAGAGATCTGACATTGAGAAAAGTTGCTTGGTCTCATCTGTGGGAGACTAGTAACAACTGCATGTTTAGTGTGGGAAAGGCACTGTCCAGAAAATAATTCTCCATTTAATGTGTTGCAGCCAGTTTCTTCATGGATTGCTGCCTTGTCGTGGCGAAGGGGCTTGAGTAACTCAGAGAAGCTATGGGCTATGCCGTGCAGGGACACCCAAGATGGACAGGACATAGTGGAGAGTTCCGACTAAACGCAATCCACCTGGAGTAGGAAATGGCAAGCCACTCCAGTATCTTTGCCAAGAACGCCCCATGATCAGAAACAAAAGGCTAAAAGATATGACGCTGGAAGATGGGCCCCTCAGGTCGGAAGGCGTCCAACATGCTACTGAGGAAGAGTGGAGGACAAGTACAAGTAGCTCCAGAGCTAATGAAGTGGTTGGGCCAAAGCCGAAAGGACGCTCAGCTGTGGACGTGCCTGGAAGTGAAAGGAAAATCCAATGCTGCAAAGAAGAATACTGCATAGGAACCTGGAATGTAAGATCTATGAACGTTGGGAAGCTGGAGGTGGTCAAACAGGAGATGGCAAGAATAAACTTTGACATCCTGGGCATCAGTGAACTAAAATGGACAGGAATGGGCGAATTCAGCTCAGATGATTATCATATCTACTATTGTGGGCAAGAATCCCGTAGAAGGAATGGAGTAGCCCTCATAGTCAACAAAAGAGTGGGAAGAGCTGTAATGGGATACAATCTCAAAAATGATAGAATGATGTCAATACGAATCCAAGGCAGACCTTTCAACATCACAATAATCCAAGTTTATGCACCAACCAGCATTGCTGAGGAGACTGAAATTGAACAATTCTATGAAGATTTACAACACCTTCTAGAACTGACACCAAAGAAAGATGTTCTTCTCATTCTAGGGGACTGGAATGCTAAAGTAGGGAGCCAAGAGATAAAAGGAACAACAGGGAAGTTTGGCCTTGGAGTTCAGAACGAAGCAGGACAAAGGCTAATAGAGTTTTGTCAAGAGAATAAGCTGGTCATCACAAACACTCTTTTCCAACAACACAAGAGGCGACTCTATACATGGAAATCACCAGATGGGCAATATCGAAATCAGATTGATTATATTCTCTGCAGCCAAAGATGGAGAAGCTCTATACAGTCAGCAAAAACAAGACCTGGAGCTGACTGCGGTTCTGATCATCAGCTTCTCATAGCAAAATTCAAGCTTAGACTGAAGAGATTAGGAAAAACCACTGGGCCACTCAGGTATAATCTAAACCAAATCCCTTATGAATACACAGTGGAAGTAAAGAACAGATTTAAGGAACTAGATTTGGTGGACAGAGTGCCTGAAGAACTTTGGATAGAGGCTCGTAACATTGTCCAGGAGGCAGCAACGAAAACCATCCCAAAGAAAAGGAAATGCAAGAAAGTAAAGTGGCTGTCCAACGAGGCCTTAGAAATAGCAGAGAGGAGAAGGGAAGCAAAATGCAAGGGAGATAGGGAAAGTTACAGAAACTTGAATTCAGACTTCCAAAGAATAGCAAGGAGAGACAAGAGGGCCTTCTTAAATGAACAATGCAAAGAAATAGAGGAAGATAACAGAAAAGGAAAGACCAGAGATCTGTTCAGGAAAATTGGACATATTAGAGGAACATTTTGCGCAAAGATGAACATGATAAAAGACAAAAATGGGAGGGACCTAACAGAAGCAGAAGACGTCAAGACGAGGTGGCAAGAATACACAGAGGAATTATATCGGAAAGATTTGGATATCCCGGACAATGCAGACAATGTAGTTGCTGACCTTGAGCCAGACATCCTGGAGAGTGAAGTCAAGTGGGCCTTAGAAAGCCTGGCTAACAACAAGGCCAGTGGAGGTGATGGCATTCCAGTTGAACTATTTAAAATCTTGAAAGATGATGCTGTTAAGGTGCTACATTCAATATGCCAGCAAGTTTGGAAAACTCAACAGTGGCCAGAGGATTGGAAAAGATCAGTCTACATCCCAATCCCAAAGAAAGGCAGTGCCAAAGAATGCTCCAACTACCGTACAATTGCACTCATTTCGCACGCTAGCAAGGTTATGCTCAAAATCCTGCAAGGTAGGCTTCAGCAGTATGTGGACCGAGAACTCCCAGAAGTACAAGCTGGATTCCGAAGAGGCAGAGGAACTCGAGACCAAATTGCTAACTTGCGCTGGATTATGGAGAAAGCCAGAGAGTTCCAGAAAAATATCTACTTCTGCTTCATTGACTATGCGAAAGCCTTTGACTGTGTGGACCACAGCAGACTATGGCAAGTTCTTAAAGAAATGGGAGTGCCTGACCACTTTATCTGTCTCCTGAGAAACCTATATGTGGGACAGGAAGCAACAGTTAGAACTGGTCATGGAACAACTGAGTGGTTCAAAATTGGGAAAGGAGTACGGCAAGGCTGTATATTGTCCCCCAGCTTATTTAACTTATATGCAGAATACATCATGCGGAAGGCTGGACTGGAAGAAACCCAAGCCGGAATTAAGATTGCCGGAAGAAATATCAACAACCTCCGATATGCAGATGATACCACTCTGATGGCAGAAAGTGAGGAGGAATTGAAGAACCTTGTAATGAGAGTGAAAGAGGAGAGTGCAAAAAACGGTCTGAAACTCAACATCAAAAAAACTAAGATCATGGCCACTGGTCCCATCACCTCCTGGGAAATAGAAGGGGAAGATATGGAGTCAGTGTCAAATTTTATCTTCCTGGGCTCCATGATCACTGCAGATGGAGACAGCAGCCCTGAAATTAAAAGGCGCCTTCTTCTTGGGAGGAAAGCGATGACAAATCTGGACAGCATCTTGAAAAGCAGAGACATCACCTTGCCAACAAAAGTCCGAATAGTCAAAGCTATGGTTTTTCCTGTTGTGATGTATGGAAGTGAGAGCTGGACCATAAAGAAAGCAGACCGCCGAAGAATTGATGCCTTTGAATTGTGGTGCTGGAGGAGGCTCTTGAGAATCCCCTGGATTGCAAGGAGAACAAACCTATCAGTTCTAAAGGAAATCAACCCTGAGTGCTCATTGGAAGGACAGATCCTGAAGCTGAGGCTCCAGTACTTTGGCCATCTCATGAGAAGAGAAGACTCCTTGGGGAAAAAACTTGATGTTAGGAAGGTGTGATGGCAAGAGGAGAAGGGGACGACCGAGGATGAGATGGCTGGACAGTGTCTGCGAAGCAACCAACATGAACCTGACACAACTCCGGAAGGCAGTAGAAGACAGGAGGGCCTGACGTGCTCTGGTCCATGGGGTCACGAAGAGTTGGACACGACTAAACGACTAAACACACACACACGTGTGGGATTGTATTTTGTGTTGTTTCATATCTGTGTGGGATTGTATTTTGTGTTGTATTTTGTGTTGTCTATGTTCTGTTTTTTGTATTGTTTCAACACAAATGAAAGAAATGAACATGTGAGTACCAAAACATTTGCAATTGCAACAATTTTCTGAGAGAAGTGTTGCATTTTCTGACAGAATTGCAAAGGTGCCAATATCTTTGGCCATGACTGTATATCCTACCTTTTCTCCAGTGAGCTCAAGGTAGTATACGTGGTTCATGTTTTCCCCAACCATACAGCGAGGTAGATGTTATTAATTCAATAGGAGGAAATGAACAGATACATCTTTATGATTTGGAGAGAGGTAGATGTATTTAGTCTATTAACTTTATGAATTCTCTCCATGTTTTGAATTTCTCAGTTCATATTAGCCAGATTTGATACTGATGACTAGTTAAGAAACCAAAGAATTATAGGATGTTATTCACTATGAGTGCCTGCTATTTCTGATCAGTCTCAAGTTGTGATGTACGTCATGGGAAATGAAGCGCCTTCATAGGGGACTCCCAAAAGAATAGCTGCTTTTAACCAATTGTAGCAAGAAACACCCACAGAGAATCTGCCACCTTAAAGATGAAAAAAAGAGGTATTACAGTGTACTCTCTTAACACTGCCCATTCACAAAACTGTTGTTGCTCATATCATAATCATATAATTTAACACGTGAGCCAGGACATAGTGGTGTAAATCTACTGATGGAAGCACTTATGTTAGCAGACCCCAAATCTGTGCAGCTCCCCAAATCTTGAGCAGTACTGTCTCCATCTCCCACCTCCCTTTCTGATCTTCTTGCTACTAAAAACATTGCTCTAGAAGGGGTTCCCAGCCTTCTAGGGTAGATACTGAGTACATGCTGAGCAGTTTCATAGGCAGGTTAGCGCAAGAGAATCAGTTACAGTTCGTTAAAAAATTGTAGTCTGTACCCAAAGACATGGATTGGAATACCTATATCACTTCACTTACTTAGTGACATGGGCAAGTATTAGTATTATGGGCAAGAATCATTTTGTGATTTTACCCCTATTGGTTTTTTCTGTGTTTCATTTTCCTTTGAATTTATTGTCTACAAGCATGCAACCATATGTTCTGTCTATATACCTATGATTCTGAACGCTTTATGCTTTTGATGGGCTACAGTACTCAAAGGTTATGATGTTCCATAAAAGATTTCCAGAGCGTAAAACATACTTTTCAAAAACTTTAAAGATTTTATTCAGCAAATAAGAGGTAAATTGTGTAGACTGTCACCTCAAGTTTTCATGTTTTTGTCCACCTTCCCTCTTATTTTTCTCAATTACTTAAATCCTGTTGCTCAGCATAGTATTGTATTCTAATAATAATGTCCTCAAGCTTTTAATCGTGAGAGTATTGTTAAATGTCTTTGGGGTATTTTCTCTAGTGTCATATGTCATATCACAAGCCATCTAATGTGTTAACCTTTGTATTTTTCTGTCACAGAGTGAGGGAAAGCAGCCGTGCAAATATTTCTAAATGAACAATCGGAAGGAAGACATGGAGATTGCCTCCCATTATCGTCATCTTCTTCAAGAACTCAATGAACAACGGCAACATGGTATCCTCTGTGACGTTTGTATTATAGTGGAGGGAAAGATTTTCAAGGCTCATAAAAACATTTTACTTGGGAGCAGCCGGTATTTCAAGACACTATACTGCCAGGTGCAGAAGACCTCTGATCAGGCAACTGTCACCCATTTAGATATTGTGACAGCACAAGGCTTTAAAGCAATCATTGACTTCATGTATTCGGCGCACCTTGCATTGACCAGCAGGAATGTTATTGAGGTGATGTCAGCTGCTAGCTATCTCCAAATGACTGATATTGTGCAAGCTTGTCACAACTTTATAAAGGCTGCTCTTGACATAAGCATAAAGTCTGATGCATCAGATGATCTTATTGATTACGAACTAGGGGGTCCATCCAGCAGTAGCACCGACGCGTTAATTTCAGCAGTAGTGGCTGGTAGGAGCATATCGCCCTGGCTGGCTCAACGGAGAAGTCCAGCAAACTCCTCTGGTGATTCAGCAATTGCTAGTTGTCATGAAGGAGGGAGCACATATGAAAAAGAGGATCAAGAACCCAAAGCAGAGAGTCATGATGACATTTCATCCCAGTCTCTTTGGTCCAGTGACCTGGGCTATGGGCCCTTGCGTGTCAAGGAAGAACCGATTTCTCCGTCCCATTATGGAGGAAATGACTTGCAGCCCACCAAAAATAGCGTAATACAAAATGCTTTCTCAGAACAAGTTGCGGCAGATGGATGGCAGCCAACAGGGCGGAGAAAGAATAGGAAAAATAAGGACACCGTGAGGCATATTACACAGCAATTGGGAGACAGCAGGACAAGTTCTCCCGTGCCACCTTTTCTATCTGCCTCTGTGTGGCCATACGCTAGTCAAGAAGCAAGTAAGTTTGTTTTTTCTCCCCCCCTTTCAAACACTGTGAAAAAATATGGTATGAATATGTCACCATGCCTTGTATACTGTGGTTAAAGTTGTGTACGTTTTAATGAGTGTACAGTAGAGGAGGGTGGAGCTTTTGCTCCATTCTTTAGGTTTCTACTTCTGTCTCCCTTCACTGACTTCTCAGCTCTCCTCTGTTTCCTACCCCTGCTGCCAAGGCTTTGTGGGACTTGGAGGCCAAATCCCATTAGGATTCAGTGATGGTTGTTTTGGGTCAGAAATTTAAGTTTGCACCTCTCTGAAGCTGCTATCCATGTTGATTTACATCAGTGTGGGCAATAACAACAGGTCCAGGGGTGCAGTGAGGGTTAAAAGTGCTGAAGACCCCCCCAAAACATGGGGGGAAGTTCCCATGGTCCTCCAAACGGACATAGTGGGAACCCAATTTGTTTTTTCTATATATATAGATATAGATATAGAGAAGACTCCTTGGAAAAGACCCTGATGTTGGGAAGGTGTGTAGGCAAGAGGAGAAGGGGATGACAGAGGATGAGATGGTTAGACAGTGTCATCGAAGCAACCAACATGAATTTGACACAACTCCGGGAGGCAGTGGAAGATAGGAGGGCCTGGCGTGCTCTGGTCCATGGGGTCACGAAGAGTTGGACATGACTAAACAACAACAATAGACATACGAAGATAGATAGATATAGATATAGATATAGATATAGATATCTTGATATAGAGATAGCATTGCCTTTATCATCCACACTGCTCAGCAGAATTATTAAGATTTTTGGATAATGCTGGATGTTAAAGGAAGTAATTGAAGAGGACCTATAGGCACTCTTGATTGTTAATATACTATATCCATTTTGATCAAGTCTTAGATTTCATTTTGGGACATAAATCTTTGTCACCTTATAGGATAACCTTTACAGGAAGAGAGATGGGATATTGCAAGTCTGATGATTTTTCTTGCATTCTGAGCAGTATGATCAACCACCAGAAGGTGGTTCTGTGGAGTTTTTTTTTTTTAATGCTGCTTTGTGCTAATTACACCGGCAAGCTTTATTTTATTCCCTCCATGCTTAACAACCTCTGTATACATCTGCCTAACCTGAGGATGCAGCATAAGGTGTCATTAATAAGCAGATAACATTCAGCTTTGCTACTTCTTTTTTTCACCCATCTGAGCCCGCTGAAGGCCTGAACTTGTGCAGGTTCTGAGAGTGGAGGAGGGCCAATAAATGAAAGCACAATCCAGATGAGAATAATGTTTGGTCAAGTTGATGAGTCATTCTGCAGAGTATTAGCATATCTCAAGGATCATATATACCACTCCACATCTTGCATCATTCCATTCCCCAGCTGCTGGAAATTGGGAGGGTGGCTCTAAAAGAACAGGTCTTCTCAGTTGGAATGTCTCGTTAAATGTGTTAATCAAGGAAACAGGCGGGGGCAGAATCATTTTCCTCCTCTCTATTTATGGAACAATAATTTGTGTGAGAATTTGGGCTGTTTCAGAGATTGTGCAAGGAGGGATCTGGTCCATCCATGAGTGGAAGCACCATTTTTTCATTAAGGTGAACTCCAACAGCATGCCAGAGATTACAGGAAGATTCACATTATACTCTGCCAGACATTCACTGGATGCTGGCCTAAGATTTAGATTCTGAAGCTTTGAATCTTTAAAATAGATATGCTAATAATTGAAATCATTAATGAAAATATAGTCTGCTAACAAATGAAAACTCATTAAAACTGTATTAGCTAGGGCTCATAGAGAAATTCATGAATCATGAAGTCATTCAATCTTGGATTGTTTAAAAGTATTAACTAAATAAATTACCTTGTTTTTTAAAGTCTTGTACTGTTTTCTGTAGCATGACAATAATAACAAAGATCTTCAAATACGGAAAACTATTCAAGAAAAATGAGCACCTGCCTCTTCGCTGTATAATAGCTAGTTTTATAATCGTCTAAAAAACTATGTAGTATACACTGCATTGTTCTGTATCTTTGTATTTGTGAAATGCATGGGTTAAAATAGAAAAAGAGCCACAGCCCAATGGCAGAGTGCCTGTTTTGTGTGCCCACGTTATCAAATAACCTTGAAATAGCAGACTAATTCAAATTCTATCACTTCATCAACCTCCTTCAGTGCTGATGAAACGCCAACCACAGCAGTGTGCTTTAAGAATTTGACTGTTGTCTAGTTGGATGTAGTTTGCTGTGTAGCATATTACTGCCACCATGTAAACCAAGCTTTTGTGGTGGCAAGCTAAAAATGAATCCGCACACAGCTCTGCACACATCACTACCAGTCAGTGGACAGGTCCTTAGGGCTACAATTACCTCTCTTCTTGTTAACAGCCTCTGTACTGAGGGTGAGAGTATTACTAATGGTGGGAGATTTGAAGCACCAGCTACGGACCATAAAAGTGGAAATTGGAATCCACTGACTTGGCTAGGTTCTGCTTCCTCAACATTACAAATACCCTTGAATTCACTTCTATTTCAGCTGTTATTTTTTTTCAAAACTATGCAATAAAGAATTCTGCTACTTTGCATAATCTGGAAGCTGTTTGGATAGTTCCCATGTTGTTGTTAAGTTATCTCTGACTTACGGTAACTCTGAATGAGTGATCTCCAAAATTTCCTGTCCTCAACATCGCTGCACACTTTTATATTGAAGACTATGGCTTCCTTGGTGGAATCAATGCATCTTCCTCCTTTTCTGCTGACTTTAGCTTTTCATTGCAGTATTGTCTCATCCAACGAGCCTTGTCTTCTGATGAAGTGCCTGAAGTATAACCGCCTCAGTTTTGTCATTTATGCTTTCAGAGAAAGTTCAGGCTTGATTTGATCTAAGACCCACTTGTTTGTCTTTCTGATGCTTCAGGGTGTCTGCAACAGTCTCCTCCAGCACCATATTTTGAAAGAAGCATTTTTTTCCTTGTCAGCTTTCTTCACAGTCCAGCTTTCACACCTGTACACATTACTTAGGAATACAAGAGTGTGGATGATCCTGGCCTTGGTCTCCAGTGACACATTCTTATACTTGATGATATTTTCCAGTACCTTTATTGCTGCCCTTCTGAAACTCAGCCACCTTCTGATTTCTTGGCTACAGTTCTTTCACTTTAATCAGAAATAATTTCAAGTCATTTCTGCCAATAAGGCACCAGGAGCTATGAATTGCACTGCTCCCTGATGCACTAGCAGAAATGTCATGAAATAGAGAATGAATGAGTGAAGGGACCAAGATGTTGAGGCTGTTACTCAGGGATATTCACCATCTGTATAATGTTGAACGGTAACTCAGATTGTCTATCATTGGATGTCTTGGTTAGCACCAGGATCATCCTTGTTGCCCTCCTCTGAACATGCTTCAATTTGTTGGCATCCTTCTTAAAGTATGGTATCCAAACTGGACACAGTACTCCAGATGAGGCCTAACCAGTGCCAAATAGAGGGGGAGTACTTCCCAGGATTTGGAAACTATACTTCTGTTAATGCACACTAAAATAGCATCGGCCTTTTTGGCAGCCACATCACCCTGTTGGTTCATATTTAGCTTGTGATCTGCAACAATTCCAAGATGCTTCTCGTTCATCTTATTACTGAGCCAATATCCCCCATCTTGTAACGGTGTGTTTGGTTTTTCTCCTCTAGGTGTAGAACTTTAAATTTGTCTCTGTTAAATTCCATTCTGTTGTTTTCAGCCCAGTAATCAAAACTATCAAGATATTTTTGAATTTTGTTCCTGTCTTCCAGGATATTATTTATTCCACCGATTTTTGTGCCACCTTGAAAATCTGATAAGTGTTCTCTGCACCCCCTCTCCCAAGCCATTAATAAAAATGTTGGAGAACAGCAGGCCCAGGACTAAGCCTTGTGGTACCTCAACATGTTATCTTCTTCCAGTTTGAGAAAACATCATGATAAGCACTCTCTGGGTATGATTTTGTAACTAACTGTGTATGGACCAGGCAATTGTTCTTTCCAACCCACATCTAGTTGGCTTGCTGATCATAATATCATGGGGAACTTTGTGAAGTGCTTTGCTGAAGACTTATTACATCTACAGCATTTCGTCCATCTACAGAGAGATTACCTGATCAAAGAAATGAGAAAAAAATTAGTCTGACAGGATTTGGTCTTGATAAATACATGCTGGTTTCTAATTATTACAGCATTGTTTTCAAGGTGGTTGCAGAGTGACCCCTTTACACTCTGCTCCCGAATTTTTCTTGGGATTGATGTCAGGCTGACTGGTCTGTAGTTCCCAGGTTCTTCCTTTTTGTCTTTTCTGAAGATACGGACAATGTTAGTCCTCCTCCACTCTTCCGGCACTTCACCCATCTTTCGTGATTTCAATAAAATAAATAGACAGTGGTTCTGAGAGTTCTTCAGCCAATTCTACAATATTGAAATGATTAAGGAACAAAAGGAAAGAGCTAGTTGGCTGTGATATGAGAGTGGGGTTGGAAGGAAAAGAGAGAAGAGGGATGCAAATCAGTGACAAAATACAATTGAACAGGTTCTAAGATAAGGTGCCACGCTTTAGGACAGATACAGAAAACAGCTGAGTGATCTCGTATTCATAGAAGAGGAATTTGTCAAAAAGGAAGTGGAAAACTTTACCATACACTATTTCTGCTTTGCAAGGGTTCCAATTTTACTTCTGAGGGTAATTGACTTATACAAGGTCTGTCTTTAATACCACAAAATCCTACATCCAAAGGTCTAGTCTTTAGTTAATCCTATAAAGCTATATACCTCTGAATGATCAGAGAGGAAAATATACTAATAAACAGTATGGATTGTCTCAGCAAACCCCCTTTTCCGTGCATACCATTTGTGCAAAAGGGCAATTTTACATCTGTTAGCCTTAAAAAGCTGTCTGAAAATATGGAAATAAGGCAGCTAAATCCTCAAATTGTTCTCACCTAGATATCCGAAGGGGGAAAAATCAGTGTGTTAAGAAACTAGCAGATT